TCAAGTGAGCATCAAAACCCCGAGGCCTGAGCTGCATGGGAGAACATGCTTCACCCGATGCCAACACACACAGATTACCAAGCAGCAGAAGGCGTGTCCCTTCTGTGGCAAGGCTGCATCTGGAAGCTTGGTCATTTAATACAGAAAGTAATGATTCTTTTGAAGAAATACCAACCATAATCGTTATTCCCATAAAGTGCCTGAGGGAGGGCTGGCACTCAATAAGTGTAAATAATAACAATAAGAACCAGTATTTTCTTTCTCTCATAAACTAAAGAGCACCGGGTAAGTGGCATATTGGAACCGATATTCCATTATGGGAACATTAATCAATGTGATATAAACATCATGCATTGTCATATAAAAGTAGTTTTTTATGACCCGGCCCTGTTTCTCCTAAGTCTGAATTAATGTTGCCGGTTGCAGAATAGTGGCTTGGGATCGAGAAAGGAGTATAGTCTTTTAAAAAAGAAATCCACTTAAAAACAGTCTGAAGGTGCTATCCTTTTAGCACTTTTCTAAAATTCTGGCCTCACTGAAGGGACCCAAAAGATGAATATTTGAACACATTTAAAGGCTTGGTTCTCCGTGAATGTTTCCACAGCAAGTACCTAACCTCTACTCTTTTCACCCAATTTCACAATGTTATGTGGATGAAAGTGTAAGCTGTCCACGAGGACGCTCATTTTCTTTCTGGATTTGAAATAATTCCCAAACTGCTTTTTTAAATAATCACCCACTAACCCCTTAAGAGGCCCTCAATGGGCCCAGAGCCCCCGGGCAGGGTCAGTTACCTATGAAATTCTAGTCCCTTCAATCAACAGGGACAATTCCTTCTTAACTGCATATCCACTGACTTGCCATAGACATTACATCATTTAATAAAAAGCTAGCCTGCCTTACAGGTGAGGAATTAGCCTCATTAGTCATTAGCATTTGCTTTTTGATCAGCAACCCCTCTGAGTCTCATTTCACTTATGCTGGATCCTGCCACAGTATTTTGAATTAGAACATTGATCTTATAGAAATGTAGAAAGGAAAGCTGCTAAGTTTAACAGGGATCTGACAATGGCCTCTAGTGCTTAAAGGAGAATGAATTTTGTCCAGTTTTAGATATTCCTGGGTTTATAATCTGAGGTAATGGCTAAGGCCTGAGAGGCTTACCATGTAAATCCAGCACAGGTTTAAAGAAACAAATGACATAAGGACAAAGTTTGGAATTTTAGTCAATGCAAATGTGTACAGTAAGCATCTAGGTCCACCCAGACAACCCAGAGGCATGTGCAGATGTGGGAGGACATACCAGGAACTAACACACTAGACCCGTGACCTCCTAAACACCACAGCTCCAGGTGCCTCACGCCAGTAACAGCTTTCCTTCCTCGCTCTCCTCGTTCACTTTCACATGAACTTTTTGGTCATAAACTAGAAAACGGATAGACTCAGTACAGGAAAGACTGGCATAGCGTCCAACTGACTGGAAGTGACAGTCATCACGTAAAGGTATGAGGTGGCCTTGGCGCCTTGCCTGCCCTCCACCCTCTCTGCGGATCCAGGGAACATGGCCTCTGCCCCACGGGGCAGGCGGGCTGCTGCCAAGAGGTCTGTGTGGGGAAGGCTCTGTGGGCAGGTCCTTTGCTTTCATGGAGCGATGGTGACATGATACTGATTTCAACATGGTAGTTGTCATAGAATGTATGGTAGGGAGTGGGAGTGTGTAGGAGTATGTGTATGACTTCTAATAAGTCTCAACTGAAAAAGCATAAGCATAGCTGTTTTAAGATCCTGGGTAGGGTGAGATCAGTTTTTACTCAAGAGGCATATTTATTTATTATTAGTTTTATTTATTTGTATTATTTTTATTTTAAAAAATATTCATTGTTGAAAATATTACAGATGTGTCTCTCCCCCCTGCCCCCACCCCCCCACTAACCTTTCCCAGCTCCCGCCCCTCCCCTCAGCCTTTACCATCCTATTGCCTGTGTCCATGGCTTATGCATATGTGCAGACAAGGTCTTTGGCTGATAAGAAGCACATGTCTAACAGGCAAAAGTGCAGCCCCCTCTCCCTGCAAATGCTTTTCAAATCCAGCCAGGAAGAGCTTCTTTCTCTTCCTGGAGTTCTTATTCCAGGCCAGTCGCTAGCCATTCTAAGTGTTATTTCCTGGATTCCTCACCCTTGGGGAGAGCTAGGAGGAGGAAGCATTTGTGCTTAAGAGCACACACTTTGGAATCGGTCAAACCTCAGCTTCATCCCTTGCTAATAAATAACTTCAGAGAAGATATAAATATCTCAACACCCTCATCGGTAAACTGGGGGGGGGGGGGAGGGAAGAGGGGGGAGTGAGATAACACCCAAAAAATGCTCAGTATGTCGGCAGGGCTTATTAAGGGCTTAAATGTTCTTTGCCCTTATTAGTATTCTCAGTGCACAGATGAGGACACACGCGTGGAGAAGCTATAAAACATACACACAGTAGGCAAGTGGAAAAACTAGGATTGAACCAGGGTCTGATGGAGGACATTATTAACCTTTGCAGCCCCTATGCTAAGCCCCTCTCTAACACAGTGATTGTCCTACCCACTGGCATAATTTCTATTCCTGAAACCCTCGCTTTAAGGAGGATCAAGAGAAAGAGCAACCCTTCCACCTAGGAGTGGCACTCGCATGCATTTGTTTCTTTAAATAACCATCAGGCGATGCCTTGAGAGTTGAGATTTCAAATATCCTTTGGGCTAAGAAAGGGTCTTGCATGGCTTAAGAAAGGCCCAGTATCTCGCCTCCTAAATGGCTCTTTACAAAAACAAGTGTCTTTGGGGGCTGCCCGTGAAGAGGCCAGAGTGGAGCTTGAACATGTTGCCGTGGGTTCCCTTCTCGCCCCCCCACCTCCCCCAGGTCTGGAGCGCCCCTGTCTCACCTTTCACTCACTCTGCTGAGAATTTCTTCCCTCTTTGGATGCAATTTCACACCTGTCAACCTGATGTGACAAACAGGAGGCCACGGCCAGGCTTCAGCAGCAGCCTGTGTCTTTAAATTCCCCAACAAATGTTTATCTAACTGTCAGATTTAGAATTCTCTCCAATTTTTAGTCACATACCTTCTCCATCCACCCCCTCTTCCCCCCAACATCTACAGGTGTCCGTGGCAAATCAAAACAAAACCCGATCCCTACAAACTGTGTTTTTCCTCCACTAGATAAATACTTGTGTTTTTCCTCCTGAACTGAGGAAAAGGTCAAGAGTGATTCTCTTTGACGCAGACTGGCAGGAGGGAGACTTCCTGTAACAGGTCTGCGCATGTTTGGTGTTGTGTGGAGATGAGGATTTAACGTAGCAATGCTTCCAGAGCGAGATCTCTACTATCATTTGGGCTAATAAAGTAGGGATCTTATATGGCTTAAGAAAGATACATATCTCTTCAGTTTATTTGGTGCAGGAAAAGCTATTCCAGCTCTACTTGTTTGGCTCAGTGGATAGAGTGCCGGCCTGCGGACCGCAGGGTCCCAGGTTCAATTCCGGTCAAGGGCATGTACCTTGGTTGTGGACACATCCCCAGTAGGGGGTGTGCAGGAGGCAGCTGATCGATGTTTCTCTCTCATCTATGTTTCTAACTCTCTATCCCTCTCCCTTCCTCTCTGTTAAAAAAAAAAAATCAATAAAATATATTTAAAAAAAGAAAAGAAAAGCCATTCTATTTGCATTAAAAGATAAAACACTTCCAGCTGCAGAAAGCCTGCAAGGTGTAGAAGGCCGTCAGCTGCCTGAAGCGTTAGGACAGAAGTGCGATTTGGGGAGGACAATAGAGGCCCCCAGTTCTTTTTTGGGGGAAGGAGGCTGGGGCTCTGGCTCGGGTTCGTTTAGGAAAAGAAGGCTCCCTTGGTTTCAAGCCCCATTTCCCAATATCTCCTGGGAGATGAAGGCTCTTCTGTGTGGCTTTCACAATCAGACCCTGGTCCCAGCCTCTCCACTCCAGGGCTTTGAAATCCACCCCTATTCACAGGCTCACAAGGAGGCAGCCCTGGGGCAGGGAGGGACAGCGAGGGCTTCCTGGGGTCCCAGCTGGCCGGGCCCACTGGGCGGAAGGCTCCCGGCAGTAGGCAGGGCTGCCCTTGGATCTGCAAGTGCCCAACGCCTGGCGGGACCGCGGCTCACGCAGTCTCCCTGTCCCCAGAGAGCCTCTTGCTACATTCATTGCATCACGGATGCCTTAAAAAAATTTAAGAGGCCCTTTTATCCCAAGGCAGCCATTGGAGACAGCAAATACTCGATTCCAGCCTTTGTAACTGGGACTGATCGCACGGCTTTCATTTCACTTGGCAGCTGTGTTTGGGCGCAATGAGAAGCACATCTGGGTGTTTGCGAGGAGCTCTGCTCTGTCCTGTTAGCGCCCTTTGCGAGAACAGAACTCAACGGGATCGCTTTGGCCAGAAGGGTCCTGGAAGGACTTGCTTAGCCCCCCAAATGCTGGTAGCTTTTGGCCACAGGGAGACTTGACACAGCCCTGAGTTTAACTTTGTTATTTAAAAAACAACTCCTTCTCTCCCCTCCCCCAACCTCCTAACAAACGAACACCTTCACATGCTTACTTCATTTGCACAAAGAGTTAATAAACAGCCACTGAACGCCTTGGCCCTGACCAGCGGACAGCGGCAGCCAGCCCCAGGTCCACAGGCAGGCAGGGAGACGGATGGGTTTGACGGGGTGCAGGCACCTGGCACCTGCTCACCTTTGCCAGCTGGATGGAGGCCATCCAGGTGTTCCCCAATGAGTGACCCCGCCCGACTAACCTCGGGGACCTGGCAAGGTCACCTGTGTGCACAGATTTCCCCTCTGCCTGCTGAAGGCGGGCAGGGACAATGCCTGTGTGTCTGAGCCCTGCCGGGCAGGACAGATGGACAGATGGACAGATGGCGAGAGCCAGGCCCGTTGAGCTCAGGAATGTGAGCAAGCAGCAGCGGCAGCTGCAGGGAGGAAAGTTGGGGGTGGGAGGTGGGCACTGACCTGGAAGATGAGCACTTTGAAATGGTTGCGGCGCAGGAGCTGCGCGTGGTTGCTCTCCAGCCGCTTCACCTGCGCGCACTGCCGCTCCAGGCGCTCGCGGACGGCGCGCGTGTGCGCGCTCACCTTGCGGGACTTGTCCAGCAGCTTGCTCACCGTGCTGCCCGTGGAGGCCTGGTACTTGGAGAGCTTGGTCAGGTCGTTCTGGATGCCCTTCACCGAGCCCTCCAGGCTGATCTGCCGCTGCTCCATCTTGTGCTGGTTCTCCTGCACCACGTCCATCATCTTCACCAGCTTGTCCAGCAGCGTGAGCACCGTCACCGCGTTCACCTGGTCCCGGGCCGCCTCGTCCGCGCTGCCCAGGTGCAGGCTGGGGCTGGGCGTGGAGGAGGGCGCCGGGCTGGGGCTGGCTGGCTTCTCGGGCCGCAGCTCAGAGCCCTGGGACTTGTCGGAGTGGGCAGCGTCCTCCCCCATGGTCAGGCGGGCAGGTGGGCAGGGCCGGGATCCCTCTTCTTGCTCCGGGGAGGACGGTGGCGAGGGGCGCAGAGCTAGGCGGGCAGCTTGGAGCTCAGATCCCGGCTCTGCAGCCTGGAGAGGTTCAGACAGGCCAGCACCGGCTACACTGACCGGGGCCTGCACCCTGAGGCTCTTAAAAGCCCGGCTCCACCCAGTGGGAGGCGAAGGTCAGAGGAGAGCCACTCGGGGCTCAGGGGAATCACACACTTCCTCGCTAGTCCCCTGGGCGCAGGGCACTTTCCTGCAGGGCCAGCGTCTCTTTCCGGAGCCTCTTCCCTTTTAAAAAGGAGTTGAATGCCATATTTCAGTCATGACTTCATCCAGGGGCGGGGAAAGCACGCTCACCCGGCCAGCTCCGGGCTCCAGTTGGCCAGCGCTGGTAAACTTGTCTCCGGCTGCTATGCTACAGATGCAACAGAGCGGCTGTTCTTTTATTTATTTTTTTCCCTCTTTCCTGAATACAAGTTATTCTAACGGAAAGTATTGTTTGCATTTGCCCTAGACTGGGCTGCAGAACGCCTGGTGTCCAAGGAGAGGGGAGGGGTCAAGTGTAAAGGGTACTTGCAGCCCAGCTTGGTGTTTGTTCCTTTTTTTTTTTTTTTTAAACACATTTTATTGATTTGTTACAGAGAGGAAGAGAGAGGGATAGAGAGTTAAAAACATCGGTGAGAGGGACACAGCTGTGCCTGCAACCAAGGTACATGCCCTTGACTGGAATCGAACCTGGGACCCTTCAGTCCACAGGCCAACGCTCTATTTACTGAGCCAAACCGGTTAGGACTGGTGTTCGTTCTTAATGTCTGAAGGAAGGGAAGGGACCCTGGTAACCACCAGGAAGGCAGCCCAATTCTCTCTTCACGAGTTCTTCTTGTGATGGAAGAGCAAGATAAGTCAAAAGAGACCGAACTTCACGGATGGTAAAACATGTAATTGCTGCCCAGCTGGGTGGAATGGCTCAGGGGTTGAACATCGACCTATGAACAAGGAGATCACAGTTCAATTCCCAGTCAGGACACAGGCCTGGTTTGTGGGCTCGATCCTGTGTAGGGCGTGCAGGATGCAGATGTTCCATGATTTTCTCTCATCATTGACCCATCTCTCTTTCTTTCTCTCTTCCTCTCTGAAATCAATCAAAACATATTTTAAAAATATACTTTCTTTGGGGGAGCAAAATTGAAAGAGGAATCTCTCCCGCTCCCCACCCCTGTAAATAAAGCCTGGTCTCTTTAAGAGCCTACCATGCCATTTGTTTGAACTGGTTTATAATCACTGCTGAGAGACCTTCTCAGATGCCCCCTCCGCCAGGCACTTGCTGACACGTGCCCAGAAGGGGGCCGCCAGGCGGGCTGAGCTGGAGTTTCTAAAGTGCTTCTGTGTCTGTCATTTCCAAATTCCTGTGCTGTGAAGTGGCACACCTGTTCCCAGCCGGCCCCCCGCCCAGCCCGGGGAGCGGGCCTGGTTTCCTAGGACGGCTGGACACGCTTGGATTGGTTTTAAATGCACTCAGCCTTTGAACGCGCTCTCGGCAGGAAATTTGTAATAGGCCTCCATTGAACAATTTTGAGAAGCACAGATGCCAGCTCCTGTGTTCAGGGATTGATGATGGAAAAGTGCCATTCTGCAATGGCAAAACCTGCACGTGAGCCCATCAATCAGAGGGTCATTCGCTGTCCCATTTACTAAAATTTGTGAGTTTCTGCGATCGGTACAGTCCGATGATTGGTACACTGTCCAGAGGGTGTCAGACAGCACGTTCTGAGACCTGCCCTCAGTGGGTACACCTGTTAGTTAGGGAGAGGAGTGAAAGCTATTCACAGAGGCCACAGGGGTGTCCTCAAATAATTGCTACCCCCCCTAAACTTAATGTTTTATTAAAAAAAACTTTTTAAAAAATAGATTTTTATTTATTTTAGAGAGGAAGGAAAAGAGAGATAGAAACAACACTGATGAGAGAGAATCGTTGATTGGCTGCCTCCTGCATGCCCCTTAATGGGGATCGAGCCCACAACTCAATTGAACTGTGACCTCCCGGTTCATAGGTTAATGCTCAACCACTGAGCCATGTTGGTCGAGCTAAAGTGAAAAATAGGAACAAAACAGTGAAAAGATTTGGTTGGAACTATAAAAAAGGTAAGACAATCATTAAACTTAATTTACCTTACATTTAACAAATTTTAGTTGGTCAATGATGTGTTAAATGTTAGAACAAAGGACTGAATCAAGTGCGGATTTTGAGAAGCATAATTTTCTAACAAAATTATATGGTCTCATCCACCATATCCTTTTACATTTGATTTCAGTGGGTAAGTCATAAAGAGGGTCATCATTGCAAAAATATTTGAAAGTTTCATCAGTTTCCCAAGAGTCTCTCTTAAATCCTGACATTCAATTAGTCGGAAGCAGTTACTGTGCCATCATCTCTGAGGATTTCTTCTTCTTTAAATGTTAAGCATTCCAGCTGCAGATTCTCGTTCGTCAGAGGAGTTTCCCGTGATTCAAGGGCTTCTCTCACATCACTGTCACCAACTTCATGATCTCTTACACATTTAGAAAGATTTGCAATTTTACATTATAATCACTCTGCCCTGACTTTTTGCATTGATTGGCACTGATTTTGCATTGCATTGTTGGATATTGTGTCATCTGCTAGATAAACAGAGACCTTAAAGACACGGGTTAAGGTAGAAAAAGAAAGAGAGGTTAGCGGTTAAACAGGAAGAAAGCTTTGCAAGTGAGCCTAGTTATTTAAAAAAGTTAATTTTGAATAAGACACGTAGCATATCATAACAGTTATCTATTGCTGTATAAGGAACCAGCCTGAAATTCCAAGGCTGAAAACAACTAGAGTCCTGAATTTTATGTACTCACTAGAGGCCCAGTGCATGAAGATTTGTGCAAGAATGGGCCTTCATTCCCATGGCTGCCGGCCCTGCCTTCGCTTTGGCCTGGAGCTGCCTTTCCACCTTCCCATGCTGCCTAGAGGCCCACAGTGGCTGGGGAGGTGCATAATGCCTGTGTCATCGCCATGGTGACAATGCAATTGTCTCACCCTGCCCCCAGCCAGTCGGTATTTGCGTATGCAAATCAACCTGCCATCTTTGTTGGGTTAATTTGCATACCCCTGATTGGCTGGTGAGCGCTATGAAGGTACAGTCAATTTATATATTACTCTTTTATTATGTAGATTATTGTGTGGCTAGGCAGGGCTCAGCCAGAATGGTCATCTTGGCTAGGCATGCCACTCAGCTGTCATGGAATCCAAGATGGTCTTTATCACATGGTTGGCTCTTTAGCTGGGACAACTAGGATGTGGGATTTCTCTCTCCTTAACCTTTCAGCCTCGGGGAGACTAGGGAATGAAAGCAAAAGCTGCAAGATTTGGGAAGTTTGGAATTCTCCTCTTGTCATGTCCCCTATATTTATTGGGTCCAAGCAGGTCACAGGCCAAGCTCAGGCTCAAGGGCACAGGAAACAGACCCTGCCTCTTTATAGGAGGAGCAGGCAAGGTGCTGGAGTGGGTCACATAGGAGCATTAACTACCAGGGTATGGTTAGGAGTCTGAATCCTCCATCCATTCACTAGCTACCAACTGTTCTCGCAAGTCTCTAAGTCTAACCCTGCCCTGCCCATATGAGGCCCTCGGCCTTGTGAGGCAGAGATGAATCATCCTTGCTAGGCCCTGTCCTGATTTCCGATCCACAAAACTGTAGGTATAAGAAAATGATGTTTGTGTTATGTCACTAAGTTTTGGGGTGATTTGTTATGCAGTAATAGATAACTGTGACCATGTGGTTTGCAATGAAAATGCAGTTCTTGCAGAATTATGAGCTGTCTAGGTTTGTCCCCAGCACTCCTGCATCCGATCCATTCATATGTACTATTGTCCCCACACTTAACTCCTAAAATAACAGTACCCTCAGCAAAACTGCGCTCTGAGCTTGATACCAAAAATAGTGGGATAAAATAAATTAGGCAGAAAGGAAGGTGGAACTGAAGGGTCACCCAACCACAGCTGGCTTCACTCTGCACTCCACCCCACAAGGGTGCAGATGAAAGGGGTGCAGCTTGTAGAAGGCCAGACGGCCCTGCCTTTCCCTGATCCTTTTCTGAGGCGACAGAGAGGACTTGTGTTCAGTAGAAATATCAAGGATGAAAAGCGTGTGATTATATGACCTTAACCTCTTCCAACCAAAGTCTCCACGTAACCTCTATGGAAATGTATACAAATGAGTGATGAAGCATAAATAATGTACAGTTTTGACAGAAAAGGTGGGTTCCACTTTTGCAAAGTGCTGTCATTTAGGAAATGCCATGATTTTTTGAAATTCTAGAGGGGCTTGCATTTTCCAGGCCTCCTCTGCCTCTGGGACCCCATACTCCCCAGGTGCTGTTTCCATCTTGCTCCATGCCTTCCCAGCTGGGAGCCCCAACTCTTGTTAGGCATCACAGCACCCACTCACACCACGCATTCGCTCAGTGCAGTGCATGGTAGTGAGATGCAGGGTCACAGGAAAATGGCTGACACCTTCTGGTCCCTCTCCTCCCGGTTTCCTGCCTTCTGTTTTCTCTTATCTTCTACCTCCTATTTAATGAGGGACATGTTAGCCCAATGCAGACTCTTGGGTTTTATTTTACATCAAGGAGATGTGTCATTATTATCGTGAAAAGTAGTTTTCTAGATTTTTAAAAGACAAACAACAAAACTCTGGTACCCATTAACATAACTAAACTCTTTTCTGTCATGTTTTATTGTCAAGATCAGAGGCAGAGAGACAAGTTGGAATAGTGTTCATTCATTCATTCATTCAGCAAATATTACTGAGCAACACACAGGTGCTGGCAATGTAGCCATGAACAAGACATAAAGTCCCTGCTCCTGTGGAGTCCGTGCTTTGAGGGATGGGGTGGAGACCAGTGAAAATAAAAATAACCTGTAATTGTAGACAGTGATACATTTC